GTGTGTATAAAGATTTGAAGGATTTGACCAGAAAAGTTGATAAACATCGAAGGAATTAATTAGGTTTTTAATTCAATTTTACCTGAAACAAGAAATATTTGTTGAAGGAAAAGCATTTGGGAGAGAGAGTGGTGTGGGTTCTCATTTTTTAACCTTTCGGCTATAAAAAAAAAGATTCCCGAATTTATTGGACCAAAAAAGTATAAGAAAAGATAATACTTTTGACAAAAATCACATCTCACAAACCAAAAAAAATCAGTTTCTAAGTACATAACACAAATAGTTTCGTCCCGGCCGGCTCTCTTATAAAGGAAATCAAACATTTTCATCTAGGGAAATCCGTTAAAGAAACCATCCAATTCACAATAACTTAATTTAATATAATGATGATTGTTGAAGAAAAAAAAATAAACACAAATAGTTTCGACTTTTCGATCCAATATCGCCAATTTATTTTTCCTTTCTAATAAATCGTTTAAATGTTTGGACTAACAATAATTGTAACGGAAATATACCAAGTAACGAAATTTCTAATCATCATCATCTCACGCGTTTCAAACCCATTTCAAACGTTGTAAAGAAAAATCAACATGTCGACGACACAAAGCTTATTATACCACTAACACTAAGCCTAGTTGCAATATGGGACCCACGTCAAAAAAAATTCGGTCAAACGTTGTCGTTTTCGGCCCATCCTTCCTCAGAGTCCACGCGCCACCGTCTAAGATGCATCGTCATTGCACGCGCCAGTTTGCTCTCAACGGCTCGTATCAATCCAGATGCAACTCCGGTTACATCTTCCACTTTCTTTAAACTCGGCCACGTCATCATCGTCTTCTTCTTCGAACTCCTCTTAACACCGAACCAAAACGCCGCAGCTAAAACCACCTTCTTCGTCGTCTCCCTCGGCTTAAACTCCACGGCTAAAGCGAGAGATGCCAACGAAACGACGCCGTTTATCAAATCCCCGTTTAGTCCTAATTGATCGCACCAATTTACAAAAATGCCATCCGCGACGGCTTTCACTCCTCTCTCTCTCCCTCGTTCTCTGTTCACGACAAGACGCGTCGTCTTCTTCTTCTTCCTTAGATCGGAGCTTGAGACACGATCCAGAGACGAGCAGCAAGACGAAGCGGAGGAAGAAGAACAGGATCTAGAGCAGCAGGTTGTTGTTGTCGGAGGCCAAGGAGGAAGAGGACCGGAGACGAAATCTCCGGTAAGGGATTTGCAATCAGGGCAGATGATACGGCGGAGATGGCGGGAGAAGAGGAAATTAGAGGCGTGGAATTTTCCGTCGCAGGAGATACAGAGGAAAGCTGAGTCGGCTGCACAGTGAAGATCGGCTTCTCCGCCACACAGCTCGCAGAAGTTCACCATAACCTCTCGATCACAAGTGGGAAGAGATGATTGAGGGAGAGATAAAACCTTTGGAGCTTGTCTATGGTTGATGATAGTTGGCTATTTATTTCCCTCGAAAAATAATTGTTTTAATTTTTGAATATTGGGAAATGAAAAATTGAAAATGAATGGTGTTTGGAGAATTGTGAGAGATGACGTGTGGAGTGGTTTTATTGAGGCACTACTGTGAGAGATTTTGTGGTCATTTTTAAACGGTTACAGTGGGCAGCCATTGTCGTTGTTTCTTCTTTTGGTGTTGTAAAACGTGGAGACTTGGTCAACACCAAATTCTTTTCAGTTACTTTGTGGTCTCATTCATTGCAA